ACTGCAGGTATTGCGGTCTATGCAAACATGACTCCTTGCAAAAAGGTGTCAGTTTTGTTGCCAGATAGAAGGGTAAAGAACCAATTATCATATTTTTACTGGCAAATGAGGTCCCCATAGTGTAGATGCTTGCCCCGAGCTCTCATACTCTGATGGTGCATTGTCCTTGAGTTGTGCGCCTTTTGGCGTCATCTGGTCCAACCCATATGAGACTAGGCTCGAAGGAAAGCTGTCTCGGGTGTGGACCAATCAACTTCAAGGACAGTGCACATTATCAGAGTTATGTTCTTTTGTTTGTATTATGACTGCAGGTATTGCGGTCTATGCAAACATGACTCCTTGCAAAAAGGTGTCAGTGTTGTTGCCAGATAGAAGGGTAAAGAACCAATTATCATATTTTTACTGGCAAATGAGGTCCCCATAGTGTAGATGCTTGCCCCGAGCTCTCATACTCTGATGGTGCATTGTCCTTGAGTTGTGCGCCTTTTGGCGTCATCTGGTCCAACCCATATGAGACTAGGCTCGAAGGAAAGCTGTCTCGGGTGTGGACCAATCAACTTCAAGGACAGTGCACATTATCAGAGTTATGTTCTTTTGTTTGTATTATGACTGCAGGTATTGCGGTCTATGCAAACATGACTCCTTGCAAAAAGGTGTCAGTTTTGTTGCCAGATAGAAGGGTAAAGAACCAATTATCATATTTTTACTGGCAAATGAGGTCCCCATAGTGTAGATGCTTGCCCCGAGCTCTCATACTCTGATGGTGCATTGTCCTTGAGTTGTGCGCCTTTTGGCGTCATCTGGTCCAACCCATATGAGACTAGGCTCGAAGGAAAGCTGTCTCGGGTGTGGACCAATCAACTTCAAGGACAGTGCACATTATCAGAGTTATGTTCTTTTGTTTGTATTATGACTGCAGGTATTGCGGTCTATGCAAACATGACCCCCTGCCCACCTCCTACGCATTTCCCATGAATATGCTAAATTCCTCTTGATATGCACATTCTTTTTGTTAAGGCGCTCTTCCACCTCCAACCCAGCTTATATATAAGCTCCTAGCTTGGCAGTGTCTCATTCTTCACCTGAAGACGGCTGCTTGCGTTGTAGCCGAAACGTCGTGAGAATTATTTTATTTTATTATGTTTTATTTTTATTATTTTATTACTTCCCTTCTACGTGACTTTACCGAAAGAACCAAGAAGATGATTCTGGTGGGTGTTTCAGATTGCCATCAAACACCCGACCTGTGTCACGCACATTGAACACCATAGCCAGCTGGATTAATACGGGCAAAATAAGTTATTTTTCGACTTTGTACGTTGAGAAGTACTCAATTTAATCCTGCGAAAACACACCGGCTTATGTAAGCCGATTCATAATCTGTGCCATAACTCACACATGTCTCCCTTGTTGCCTCTCCAGAGGCTGGCCCCACTCCTTCCCTTGTCCTCGCCCCTCCAACAGTTGGCCCTGTTCAGCGCCATCCACCACATGAACCACGGATTTTTTTTTTATCTAGTTTAGAGGCGATATGCAGTTGTTATAGGTCATTAAAATACACTAGGTAATTGGTTTCTGGTTAAAATCAGCTGGACCGTAAAACGAAAATTACAGGCTTATGAACACCCGACTTAGGAACACCCGACTTACAGACACTAGCACTTAAGAATCAGCTTTCATTAGATCTTTTTTTTTCTTTAACATCGTCTTAAAAACGCGAACTCACACTTTGTAAACTGACCCGCAGAACTATTTTGTCCAGCGGAGCGATCCTCTGCAAGATGTAACGAGTCAGCCTCATGCTTTTCACAATCGAAAAAAAATAATACGCATAAATATTGAAACGATTGAATAATGTACATAAATAATTAACCTTCGCAGGGAATTCACCAAAAAGATCTGCATCTTGGAATATATGAAGGCGTCGCTGTTGCCCTGCAGAGGTGCCGTGAAGCTGTAGTCGTGTAGTGGATGGATGATGACGTGGACTCCCGTGTGGCGCTTCTTGTTTGGCCATCTCGTGGCGCTCGTGGAAATTCGATTTCGTCAACATAATTTGTAACGTAGCTGGCTGTGTGTGGGTTTGGGGCTGGCTGTGTGTGGGTTTGGGGCTGGCTGTGTGTGGGTTTGGGGCTGGCTGAGTGTGGGTTTGGGGCTGGCTGTGTGTGGGTTTGGGGCTGGCTGTGTGTGGGTTTGGGGCTGGCTGTGTGTGGGTTTGGGGCTGGCTGAGTGGGTGCTGTGTGTGGGTTTGGGGCTGGCTGAGTGGGTGCTGTGTGTGGGTTTGGGGCTGGCTGAGTGGGTGCTGTGTGAGTGAGTGCTGTGTGTGGGTTTGGGGCTGGCTGAGTGGGTGCTGTGTGAGTGGGTGCTGTGTGTGGGGTTGGGGCTGGCTGAGTGGGTGCTGTGTGTGGGTTTGGGGCTGGCTGAGTGGGTGCTGTGTGAGTGAGTGCTGTGTGTGGGTTTGGGGCTGGTTGAGTGGGTGCTGTGTGTGGGTTTGGGGCTGGCTGAGTGGGTGCTGTGTGAGTGAGTGCTGTGTGTGGGTTTGGGGCTGGCTGAGTGGGTGCTGTGTGTGGGTTTGGGGCTGGCTGAGTGGGTGCTGTGTGTGGGTTTGGGGCTGGCTGAGTGAGTGCTGTGTGTGGGTTTGGGGCTGGCTGAGTGGGTGCTGTGTGTGGGTTTGGGGCTGGCTGAGTGGGTGCTGTGTGAGTGAGTGCTGTGTGTGGGTTTGGGGCCGGCTGAGTGGGTGCTGTGTGTGGGTTTGGGGCCGGCTGAGTGGGTGCTGTGTGTGGGTTTGGGGCTGGCTGAGTGGGTGCTGTGTGTGGGTTTGGGGCTGGCTGAGTGGGTGCTGTGTGTGGGTTTGGGGCTGGCTGAGTGGGTGCTGTGTGTGGGTTTGGGGCTGGCTGAGTGGGTGCTGTGTGAGTGAGTGCTGTGTGTGGGTTTGGGGCTGGCTGAGTGGGTGCTGTGTGTGGGTTTGGGGCTGGCTGAGTGGGTGCTGTGTGTGGGTTTGGGGCTGGCTGAGTGAGTGCTGTGTGTGGGTTTGGGGCCGGCTGAGTGGGTGCTGTGTGTGGGTTTGGGGCTGGCTGAGTGGGTGCTGTGTGTGGGTTTGGGGCTGGCTGAGTGGATGCTGTGTGTAGGGTTTGGGGCTGGTTGAGTGCTGTGTGTGGGTTTGGGGCTGGCTGAGTGGGTGCTGTGTGTGGGTTTGGGGCCGGCTGAGTGGGTGCTGTGTGTGGGTTTGGGGCTGGCTGAGTGAGTGCTGCGTGTGGGTTTGGGGCCGGCTGAGTGGGTGCTGTGTGTGGGTTTGGGGCCGGCTGAGTGCTGTGTGTGGGTTTGGGGCTGGCTGAGTAAGTGCTGTGTGTGGGTTTGGAGCTGGCTGAGTGGGTGCTGTGTGTGGGTTTGGGGCCGGCTGAGTGAGTGCTGTGTGTGGGTTTGGGGCTGGCTGAGTGGGTGCTGTGTGTGGGTTTGGGGCCGGCTGAGTGAGTGCTGTGTGTGGGTTTGGGGCTGGCTGAGTGGGTGTTGTGTGTGGTTTTGGGGCTGGCTGAGTGAGTGCTGTGTGTGGGGTTGGGGCTGGCTGAGTGAGTGCTGTGTGTGGGGTTGGAGCTGGCTGAGTGGGTGCTGTGTGTGGGTTTGGGGCTGGCTGAGTGAGTCCTGTGTGTGGGCTTGGGGCTGGCTGTATGTGGGTTTGGGGCTGGCTGTGTGTGGGTTTGGGGCTGGCTGAGTGTGGGTTTGGGGCTGGCTGAGTGGGTGCTGTGTGTGGGTTTGGGGCTGGCTGAGTGGGTGCTGTGTGTGGGTTTGGGGCTGGTTGAGTGGGTGCTGTGTGTGGGTTTGGGGCTGGCTGAGTGGGTGCTGGGTGGGTTTGGGGCTGGCTGAGTGGGTGCTGTGTGTGGGTTTGGGGCTGGTTGAGTGGGTGCTGTGTGTGGGTTTGGGGCTGGCTGAGTGGGTGCTGTGTGTGGGTTTGGGGCTGGCTGAGTGGGTGCTGGGTGGGTTTGGGGCTGGCTGAGTGGGTGCTGTGTGTGTGTTTGGGGCTGGCTGAGCGGGTGCTGGGTGTGGGTTTGGGGCTGGCTGAGTGAGTGCTGGGTGTGGGTTTGGGGCTGGCTGAGTGAGTGCTGTGTGTGGGTTTGGGGCTGGCTGAGTGGGTGCTGGGTGTGGGTTTGGGGCTGGCTGAGCGGGTGCTGTGTGTGGGTTTGGGGCTGGTTGAGTGAGTGCTGTGTGTGTGTTTGGGGCTGGCTGAGTGGGTGCTGGGTGTGGGTTTGGGGCTGGCTGAGTGGGTGCTGTGTATGGGTTTGGGGCTGGCTGAGTGAGTGCTGTGTGTGTGTTTGGGGCTGGCTGAGTGGGTGCTGTGTATGGGTTTGGGGCTGGCTGAGTGGGTGCTGGGTGTGGGTTTGGGGCTGGCCGAGTGGGTGCTGGGTGTGGGTTTGGGGCTGGCTGAGTGGGTGCTGGGTGTGGGTTTGGGGCTGGCCGAGTGGGTGCTGGGTGTGGGTTTGGGGCTGGCCGAGTGGGTGCTGGGTGTGGGTTTGGGGCTGGCTGAGTGGGTGCTGGGGGTGGGTTTGGGGCTGGCCGAGTGGGTGCTGGGTGTGGGTTTGGGGCTGGGTGAGTGAGTGCTGGGTGTGGGTTTGGGGCTGGCTGACTGGGTGCTGGGTGTGGGTTTGGGGCTGGCTGAGTGAGTGCTGGGTGTGGGTTTGGGGCTGGGTGAGTGAGTGCTGGGTGTGGGTTTGGGGCTGGCTGACTGGGTGCTGGGTGTGGGTTTGGGGCTGGCTGAGTGAGTGCTGGGTGTGGGTTTGGGGCTGGCCGAGTGGGTGCTGGGTTTGGGGCTGGCTGAGTGGGTGCTGGGTGTGGGTTTGGGGCTGGCTGAGTGGGTGCTGGGTGTGGGTTTGGGGCTGGCTGAGTGGGTGCTGGGTGTGGGTTTGGGGCTGGCTGACTGGGTGCTGGGTGTGGGTTTGGGGCTGGCTGAGTGAGTGCTGGGTGTGGGTTTGGGGCTGGGTTTCAGGGTCTGGAATTGGGCGGGCGGGGCTCCGGATCCGCCCAGAACCCCGCAGCCTCGTCCGCTCGACGCCCTCGCCTCTTCATTACCGCCACCACCGCGGCCATGGCCACGTCCCCGGTGAAGTCTCCGACCGGATCGCTCAAGGGGAAGAAGGACGACTCCTTCCTTGGGAAGTTCGGCACCCTGACGAGGAAGAAGAAGTCGAAGGAAGGTGAGGATGGCTTGCCGGGGCCTCATCACGAGCGTCAACAACCGCCATCGTTATCAGCACCATCACCACCATCATCGTCGTGGCTACCGCCACTACCACCGTTATCATCATAAAGCTGCACAGATTTAGAGAGCGGAGTGGCCGCGCTAATGAGTGTGACGATGAGTGGGTTTGGTGAGAATTGTGGTTATTTTTAATGGTGTCGCGAGAGAGGACGTGCAGCTCGCATGCTGTAAGTTGTGAGTGGGGGGGTTGCTCTTCGTCTGGAATTCCCCTCGACTGCCAACGCTTTCGTTAAAACGAAGTTGACTCGGCTTTCATGCGGCTCTATTTAAAAAAAAACATTCATACGACGCGTTCAGCGCAAGCACCAGTGTACATCTACAGCTGTGTCTATTCACTTTTGCACGTATAGCGCGCTCTATCCAAGTAATAAAATGTTTATGAATAATAATTATTGGCGCATAAATGTGCAGAAATCCCGGTCCCGAAAACGCCGGGCGTTGTACGTCGTGATTCCCCCCTCCCGACGGGGGACCCCCGGGGCCGAGAGGGTGGGGGGGCTTCATTCCTGGGGGCGGGGTCCCACTGTGTGTGTGTGTGGAGTCTCTCACCAGATTTGGTGATTTCTCATCCACGCGTTGGGTCTCACTCTGTGCGTAGTCTGTCATCGGGATTTGGTGAATTCTCTCACCCACGCGTCTCACGCTCTCACGCATTGGGCCCCACTTTGTGTGGTGTATATCACCAGGATTTGGTGAATTCTCTCACCCACGCGTCTCACGCTCTCACGCATTCGGCCCCACTGTGTGTGGTGTATATCACCAGGATTTGGTGAATTATCTCACCCACGTGTCTCAGGCGTGAAAGACATGAGCCGGAGTACAACATGATTCCATTTAAGGTAGCAAATATGTTAGATGTGCCGATAAGAGTGAAATACAGTACTTAAAAACCCGCTCATTTCAGACATCACAATTCACTGTTATGAGCCTCGTAAAGAAATCGTAACCACTAATGAAGTGACAACCACCAAAGGTGGAAGCAACATGTGACATATCTGGACTGTTGTGCGTGGAGGTTTGCTCACCAGTCTCATGCCCCTCCACTCTGACGCATTGGGCGTTAGATTGTGTCAATTGCACGCTGATTCTCATGCACGCGAGTGTGTTTCACATCTAGACCTGGAGTGGCAGTGATTTAAGTGAACGCGTCACAATGTGGTGGCTGTATAATCGGTGAAGTATGTACGTGTGAATAGAGGGCGGCACTGCATTGAGCGTCGTGCTTGTAGGTAAGGCCGTAATTATAATAAATATATGATTGTGGCTATGGTTATACTTTATTAATTCCTAATCTCTGCCATTACATACAATGAAACAAGAAAATGTAAAAAAGAAAAAACAGAGCAATGTAATAAAATACACTATTAGACATTATTGTAAAAAATAAATAAAAAGCCCATCCTATGTGTTAGTGAATGTTCTAATATTTTAGGCAGGAAATTCGTTTTCAAATTTAGATTTTTTTTTTCTGGGGCGGGACCCCCCAGACCCCCTGGAAGATCCCCCCCCCCCATGTTCACTCCATGGCTACGGCCTTGCTTGCAGGGCAACTGAAGCATAGGGGGAGATGTGTGAGAAGGTCGGGTAAGTGAATGTCTGTAGAAAATGACAAGTTACACCGCTGTGCACAAATAGGTCACTGGGCAAATATTCAGCACAATCTGCTGTACACGTAGACGAATGCGTTGCTGTACTTTAGACATAAGCGAACGTATACGAGATACGCGCCTTGTTTTGTGTAGGTATGCACATTTGTGTGCGATGTACATACTCTGCAGCTTACTAAAGTATTGCTCAAGATTTCAGTTTCTATCAGGGCTACCGTCAACTCGGCGTGCGCCAGTCGATTGCTCGTTACGCTTCCTGGACTCAAATCGAAATGCGAAAGGGAGACACGTTCTTATTTACAAGCAGCTTGGGATCATCTAGGCAATCAGAAGCAATGGCATACAGATCGCAGCAACTATAATCTCAAATCCTCTTATTTGTTTGGTTACAAGCAACCTGATACGCTTTGTTTTGAAAGAATACAGTTATAGCAATAATCAAGAAATTAGGCTTCAGACGAAAATTATGTTAGTGAAAACTGAAACCGAGTATGAAGACAAGGTAATACCGATCGCCTTTACACTCACATCTGCTGCTGTCACTTCTGTCTCTAAAACCTTCTGCTGCTAGACCACCCAGATTTTCCCATATAACCTCTTGTCGCAGCAGCTCTTTCTCCTGCGTCAGCAGTTCTCCCGCTGTGTTTGTCTCACCTGATGACGATTGTTTGTGTTGGGATCGAAACGTCGTGATCTATTTTTTTTCTACCTACGTGACTTTACCGAAAGAACCAACGAATACGAGTATGTCTTCTTTGTGTATTGTTTATTGCTAGAGGTGCTACAGTTAGCATTAAGTGTCAGTTTCAGTAGATACTTTCAGAACCAAACCTGAGTTCAAATCACATCAGAAGTCCCACGTGGTGTACAGAGCAGGCTACAGCTCCAGAGTTATAATCTCTTCTGGCCTCTAATCTCTCTGCTACGAAGAAGACCCACTGCTCCAAATATCACGTATTATATTTGTATATTTTCCTTTTTGTTGGGAAGCTGATGTTTGATGTTATCCCTGGGGTTGACTGGATATAATGATTACCTCATTTGACGTGCGTGACACTGTGACGATAAATACGACGGCCAGCCTGATGCTGCCCTCACCCCTCTAGGGGGGCACGTTATGCACTCTACCCTTCAGTAGCCTCCATGGGCCCCCTTGGCTGCTCGACTTGAGCCGCCGTTGAAAATTTCCCCAACTGCTAAACAGTCGCCACATGGCTGGAATAGTGTCTGTGATGGAAGGAGTGCGTAGCGCAGCGGTTAGCATGCTGCTGCGCTACGAACACCGTGTCCCGAGTTCGATTCCTGCTCACGGCCAACACCAGTGATGATTATCTAAGTGGATGCTGGACCTCTCTCCTAGGTCGACTCGGACTCAAATGAGTACCTGGGGCGGTATGTAAACATCGCCACTCGGAAGACAAAGGTGGCCGGGCGTAGTGTTGGCCACCCACCCCCTCATGTGCCACAGTGCGGGCCTTCGTATGTGCTCGCTAACAGCACTTGCCCCAACAGTCTGATGCTATAGGGGGATCTTTACCTTTGTATTCGCATTGAAGAGCCAGACTTTAATGAACTGGCAAAGAAGCTTCTTCTAGCCTTGGAATATAGGCATATGTGGATAACGCTAGAAATGTCATGTAGTTGTTGCCTCCTTTATTAAACCAGGATATGAAATAATAAACCCATTGAGACACATAAGACATACATTCCTAAATTGTAAGATCAATCTGGGTTCTATTAAGAACAAGTTAAGATAAAAACAAATTGTAAAGAAATGCATACATTTAACAGATCTGGACTGAATATGGTAGGATATAGTGAGCAACTTGGGAGTGATCGTGATGGTTTCAACTTGAAACGCACAGCACAGTATTCGCTTGCCCTTGAAGAGAGAGAACAACTTGGAGGTGTGAGGAACCACAGACAAGCAGGAAGGCATGCCAGGCGGTGGGCCGGCACCAAATCTCCCCTCAAAGCTCTGTGGGCCTCTATATATTCAGATATTTTGCTCAATTAATGAGAGTCTACGTGTCATTAAAAAACGGAGCACCCAGAGAAAAACTCATGCATGCGATGGGGCAACACTATTCCATGCAGATAGAACAGGTGAAATCCACATTAGCTGTACCACATTCTCGTGGAAAGCAAAGGGTATGGGCACCTTCACGACACCCACGGGAAGGGAGTTTCGTAACATTTGTGTGATTCACCAACCCTCACCTCCACAGTGCTGGTTTGCAGGCAAACGCAACTGCCACCGCCCGGCTAAATATAACGTCGCAAGAAATCAATGTGGAGGTTGTGCTGGCCGAGGGGCATGTGTGTAGGAAAGAGTTGTGCTGAATGCAGCAAGCCATTGGAATGGTATTCCAGACGCGGCTGACTCGAGCAAATACTTGAAGCCAGATGTTGAGATACTGTAAGTGAACCTTGGCGTGCAGGTGTTGACTTGAAGCAGTTACATAATCTCAGGGAGAGGATGATGAAGGACGAGAATAATTACGATGATGATTTGTGGAGACATCATCAGCATTGGTCGTGTTACTAATCTATTTGTCTGGATGGCTAGAGTTTGTCTATGTGCAGTAATGCACATCTTGATTTTGGCACAGTGTGATATTACTATATTTTCGACGTAGGATCAAGATTAACGATAATACAATGGAAATATATTTTTTAAAACAGGTATTATAATAATATATGAGTGCTTATCATGACACCTTCCCGTCTTCACCAACTGGCACCAACTAGCATGGTGAAGTATGGTCACACAACCCCCATGACGATACAGTGGGTGTGTGTGGGGGGGCTTTGGCAGTGTATTGACTAAGAACTCTTACACATAGACACCTCTCAGTTTAGCACTCATCTGGTGAAAGATCAGGCTTCGTAAACTTAACAATTTTTAAAACTTTATTTTATTTTACCAGGTATGGAACACTAAGCTATACAATAGTTCCTTGGTTAACGCTTTTAATCCGTTCCACTAAAAATACGGTGAACCAATATAACCCTTAATCGAATATAGGAATTACATGTTAAAAGCATTCATCCATTTCAAGACGATCGGAAGTTGACCTTTTTGACCCTAAAAGTTTATAACATTTAAAAACCAATTACTTTCCTACTCCTCTTTTCCTCTTGCGAATTCACTTTAGGGGCCATTGCAATCACTATTAATTCCCCTATAAGTTGGAAATAACTAAAAGTCTGCAAAAGAGCTGCTTCACACTCCCAAACCAGAAAACATAATATAAACAAAGCCAGTTGAGGGTCTAAACGATCATAAATGGACATCGCTGATTGGCTGAAGAGGCATGGCTCAGCC